TATATTATAGGTAATTGAGAATCGTTAAAAGAATTGAGAATTGAGATTAGTAATTCAACTCATTCAAGTGAAGTGAAGGTGAACCGAGTTGATTGATTAGGTAGACTACAAGTTCCGCTGAAAGCGCTAGCAGTCACGAGGTTTTTGATAAGAACATTGCACGGTCAAAAAATTTTCATCGTCGTGCAACCATAGTATCTATAGCCGTGGTAGACAGTCTCATCTACATCGCAGACGGAAAAAAAATTCTTACTCTATGATTCAATCACGGTGTCAATTAAGTGTCCTTGAGAATTTTCTGCGCTCTCCGCGGTAAACATTCAATTGATTTCATTAATTTTCCCGCGTGAATCAAATTTTAACGTAATTGTTAATAATCACTATAAACTCTCAACAATACTTCAAATATTATTTATTTGTTCAAGTTTTAAACGGGCCAGGCCCAAGATTTACAAATTAGATACTGATAACAATCGTTCGTGAGTAACAAAATTAATAGTAAAGAAATGAAATGTACAAATAATATAAAATACTAATTATGTCTATGAATGGACAAGTATAAAATTACAATACAATATTTTAAGTCAGTCAAAGTTGATATAAATATATCAATTTTTAGTTTGTTAGTGTTTTTCATAGTGATATTTGAAGGAAGGGGGAGGGGGGTTATTACTTGCATTACGAATTTGGAAGAAATTTTAATATATTTTAACAAAGGATAATGACTTAAGTTATTTTGTTGTAATTTAAAAATATTATTCGTGAGTAAATATTTGAAATTTTTAATGTAATATATATTATTATCTTTTATACACACACACAATGATAATTTCAATGTAATTTGTTTTTCAAAAGATAACTCAACCTATCTACTGTATTACTGTACAATGGGGTGACCCGCCACTGACCCCTTACAGATTTTAACTCTAACAAAATGAACCTCAGCAATCAGCATTTTGAATTATTTGAATATTATATGTAACTATATAGCTGATCCCGTGCACTTTGACTTTGTTGCATGAATTTAAAAATGCCAAATCTGTATGAGACTCGACGGAGATAATTCCAGCAGTTTATTTTGCTTACACTTAATGTGGATTGCGGACCCCACTTGTATAAATAATATGTTTTATTTTGATTTTGATTGCGGACACGCCGATGAGCGGCTATAAGTGCAACTCAGACACCTTGGTAGGCAATGTGCGAAAATTCAATTGTATACATGCTTATACCTGATCTGCCTTATGAACCACTGCAGGCAACCAATAAACAAAATAAAATACCAATTTCTACTAAATATAATTATATTTCTCCTACAACCAATAGCAGCCGTATATAAACAAATATTTCCTTCGTAAATCTTAAAATCTCTGTTTGAGCAACTCCCCGGGTCGGACCTATCGGGTCCAATTGTGAATCTAAACCATCCAGGCCCCAGGGCGTCACCAAAACGCATACAAAACAATTCATTCAAATCGGACAGGGAGGCGTTCAGTGATATACACGTGTACAGTAGAATTATATATACAAAGATACTAGCTGATCCCGTGCACTTCGTTGCCCGTTGAAAATGACAAATCTATACTTGAGACTCGCTTGTTATAATGCATTAATGCGAGCAATATATTATCATGTAGAATGTTTTATTATATTATACTATTATTATAAACTATCGTAGCCTACGCTAGGTAAATACTCTATATAAATAATATTTTTTTTTAAATATTTTTTTTTATTTTGACTGTGGATACACCGATGAACTGATATAAGTGCAACTCAACCAACTTAGCAAGCAATTGGTGATATTTCGATTAGTTACTAGTTATTTTTTACCATTAATTATAAATACTAATAATAGTTACTCAGATAAAATTACGTTTATTTTAATTAATAATAACTAATTATGTATTAACTTTACCGGACTAAATGTATGCCTTAAAGGCTTAAACTTTCTCTGTAATGTTCTCTTTAATTAAAAAAACCTACAAGACGATTGAAGAAGTAGTTTGGGAGTTAATCCCGAACAAAAGAAAGCGATTTAATTTTATATATAGTAGTTTAGAATAGATATTACAATCATAGTATAGGTATAATAGTGGAATACAAACAGTAGAAAATTATTTATACCTATTATCTAGTAATGTTTAGTCATAAATAGTAATACACAGTTATTTAATAACAAATAATTGTTGTATTAAAACCAAAAGTTCTACGGGTATGGTCATATAACAACTCTCGTCTCTCACTAATAAGACATTTATTAAACGATTTATATCCATCGTATTATTTAATTTGTTACTCGTAAGTATCCATACCTCCTATTTTGATATAAGTTACCTATTTATAGAATTTTAGATTTTGAGAGCTGAGAAAAGTGATGAATGTATTCATTTTATAATGATGAATGTGTTTTTAAAAATGTTTAATTGTATCTGTCATAACCTTTTGGGGCAGTAAAATGCTTCGATTTTCTACTGTGGAATTTTTGCTATTAGGAAAGACCATCTTGTTGGTGCTTAATAAGAGGTCAAAATTGAAAGTTCCCAGTAATTTTCAAAACCACAGCAAAAATTAATTCAGTCTACTGCATATTACTAAGTTTTTAATATAGTCTTTTAGATAAGTACTATTCTTAATAACATAAAATCAGGATTTGTACCCTAATGAAATATTATTAAAATTTAAATCGGATATTCGGATAGATCCTAAAACATTTTTTTTTATTGATGAACTTGAATCATTTCCCGAGTCCTCATTGAACACAATATGTAAATTAGCAATTGAGTTTAAAAAGTTTGCTTGCCAGCATAGAACTTTATACCAAATGTATCTGAAAATGATTTTCATGATAATAAGTCTAAATCTTTTAAAATTATATACTATTCTACTATACTATACTATATACTACATTACTACAATATATTATATTGAAGTTAAGCCCACCGACAAATTAAATGTAACATGCACTAAATGTTTATACTGTATATTCATTTTGCTCCAAGAGCTTATTCATACCAATCTAATTTATTTTGTAATTTGTTCACATTATATACATTTGAGTTTAGCTATTATCATATGAACACAGACTACCTGTGAAAGAATATTTTCAAAGCTGAAAATAATTAAAACTAAACTTCGGTCTTCTTTACATCAAGAACATCTTAATCGATCTTAATTGATGCTAATATCCATCGAAAATGATAATTTGATTGGCTCGGATAAATTAATTGATACAATAATTGCTAACTCATCTAGTCAACTAAAAATATTACTGGTATAATTATATAGAAAAAAATCAATTATACGCACAATTTTTAACGAATTAAGTTGTTTAATATTATAATGTATTATTTATATTATTTATATAATTTTTTTAAATAATAAATAATTACTCTTTAACTTAATTGTTTGTTAATTTTGAATAAAGTACCGTAAAAAACATAATATTTTGCACTACTCATTAGCACTTTTTTATCATTTTATGAAATAACATTTTTAGGGGCC